ATGTTGCAAAAACTTGATTGATTTTTTGCAAAAAAATCAGTATATAATTGTAAGAAATTTCTTTCTATAATTATTTGCTTTGTGTTTTATTTGTGTAACAATTTAAGCTGGTTTACATTTTTGGCAAGTTCAGTGAATTTCTCAATTTAACTTTAAAGTCAACTTTAGTATCAATTTCGTAAAATGTCCAAAATTAATTCGCGTTTTATTTGGGTAGTTGGGAGGCATTTGGGTATTAGGTATTTGATCTTTCATTAATTTTCATAATACACTTTACAGAAACCCCTTGATGTCTACCCATTGGGAAAATCAATGAAAACGCGTTCAATTCGGGGATTTTGGTGCAAATGAGTTATACCGGGTCTTAAAAATTAGGTAGGACACATTTGTTGCAAAAAGTGTTTTGTTCGAGTTGGACTGTTTGAAATTAACATAAAATTATGTTCTTCAAAAACTCATTGTGAACTGCTTAATTTAAACATTATTTAAAAAGATAAGTACATTATGCCGAAAACAATGTAAAATATTTGCGAATGGTTTTCTAATTTGCATTTTTAATGGGTCAGTGACCTAAAAGGTTAACAAATTACTTCGACATGGTAATAAATTTTAACATCTTTACCAGGAAGTGCAATGAAAGCTTAGATTTTATGTATTTGAGTCTCATAAAAGTACCAGTTGCAATAAAATTTATGCATAAATCAATCGTTTAGTAATAATAAAATTGCAACTACAGTAATATGCAATATATTGGGAAAAAGTTATACTTTCCATTAAAGTCTTACTTTCCTTCATATCTTCAAAAGAACGAAACCGATTACATATAAGAATAATATGTTTATTTAACGCAAAAAAGGAATAAAGATGAATGAGTAATGGGCGACTGCATCATTGAATTTTACGCAATCTAACTAGACATTCGTTGCTAATATGGTACTTAATTATACAGGATGTTGACGCAACCTTTTATTCCAATATTGTGAAACCGAGAGTTCAGTAGTTGGGATTTACCATAACAGCCTTCACGTACTTACAGAATTCCGAATCACAGAACAATATTTCGTTATACCCACTTTTCGGCATTTTTTTGTTTTGTCTACAAATGAGAATTTCTTAGTTTATTTTAACTTGTCTGCAAATTTGTTTGTAAATTTAAATCATAAAAATGTCGAATAAAAAGCTGTGTAGTGTAGGCATATAATAAATAATTTTGCTGGTTTGGGGTTGTGTCGATTCAACATAAAAATTTTAATTGTTTTAAAATTTACTTTTTTATTTTAAAACAATTAAATTTTTACTTTTTTATTTAAATTTTGATTATCCAATTACATTTAAAAATGTGATTGGATAATCAAAATAACAATGAAAATAAAAATAAATAACATATTGGTTTTCTATGCAACGAATGGATTTGTGTGAGATATCAAGGAAGAATGCATTGTTTACTTTTCGAAATTTTCACTTTCCATTGCACTCGACCAGCGAGTACTCATTTAAGTAATCAATCAATCTCTCTTGATGCAATTATACTAAATATGGCACTGAGCACGTTTAATACGTTCCTTCGAGAGCAATAATGCAAAATGACTATATACTTTCACTTAATGAACGATACAAACCACCCATATTTTATTTTTGCTTCTAACTATTCACTCATTAAAGAGAAATATAATAAATCATCTTCATTAGTCGGGCAAGATTGGGTTTGTGACTGCTAATACTTTTAAATAAACCCTGACAAATCAACAAGGATTATTCATTAAAAAGCACTGTTATCAATATTTCAATATTGGTCAAAAAAATGAAGATAAATCTGCTACATGTTTCGTATGTAGATGTGGATGAAACCTGTGATATGCGTAAAGTTCTACGAAACTTTTCATACTTGTAATTCCCTATACGTAAAGCAATTTGCGTGAGTAACATACAAATACCAGCATTTTTCAGAACTGAACAGTTAGGTAATAACCTTATATATTCTCCCATATCATGCTTTATTTTAGTTTTGCAAAATGTTTCCGTTTTTAGTCATTTAGAACATTTGTTTTATTATGATTCTTCTTTTTAACCATTATCCAACAAATTAAGCTTAAGCAAAGACAAATTTATACGTTCTCCTGGCGAAAAGTATGAAAAATATGGTTAAAAAATTTAAGAAAAATCACACATAAGTGAAAAAATTATCATCAAAGAAATAATTTAAATTGCTCAATAAAATAGGCGTTACACGGACAATTTCGACTAATTTTGGAACTGGATGAAATCTGATCGCTTAGTCGAGCGATTTGATTTCTGTTTGAAGCGTTATTTAGTGCAATTCTTTTTCAGTTAGTTCGTGTTTTTGCAAAAGATTAGAGGTTCACATACAGTTTCTACGGGGTGACAAATGAAACAATGTAAAATTGGTAAAAGTTTCACATGCACTCAGTTGGGAAAATATTTTTTTTTTATTTCAACATTATAGTCATTGAGATGAAAACTGTATACATATATCGAAAAAAGTTATATATCAATTTTTCCACCACCTCGTTTATTTATAGAGTGGTCTCAAGAAAATACACTTTTTGGTATTGCAGTGATACATGTTTTTCTTTTAAACCGATTTTCAAAATTTTAGGGCTCATGTTCAAGTCAAGTTGTTGGTGGACTTGCGAAAAAAAATCTACCGGGTTTTATTGAATTGTTTTACTTTAGTTGAAATTCTGCCAGAATCACAGATTTCGGGGGATATTCTGCTTTGAGGCATTTTTCATGCAAATCTGTGTTTTGAATTTTTGTGTTAGATTGTCTATGAAGTTTCAKCTTCCGCGTGAGCTCAAGATTGTTAAAATCGACCCAAGAACCCAGAAAAGTTATCGCTGCCAGACCAAATAAATTATTGGCWGAAAAAWTCGAAAACCTTCTGACGTTGAGATCCAAAAAACCTATTTTTTGCACCAACTAGGGGCATGCGAACTTTCCGCAATTTTGCATTTTTTCGTTTGCCACCCTGTAGATAATTTATCTCGTGCTTAATTTTGACCAAAACAKTGACGAAGAAAAGCAAATGGGGATAWATAACGCTTCAAACAGAAACAAAATCGCTTGAAGCAATCAGAATGTATCCACTTCCAAAGTTAGGRAAAGTTTGGGTGTGTAACGTTMATTTTGTACTCCAATTTTCATACTACCATCCATGAACSCTACACAACGTTCATTTTGCTGMTTGGTTTAAATTTWAAAAAAAAGTCAGTGGTCGATCCGTTTCTGAYGAATGACTAATAATTGAATGTAATTTTAAATACGAGCAAATGCACATAAAGGTTTGTGTAGCAATGAAAAAATTAAAYAAGTTGAAAACCGGAAAAAATTAATGGAGTGTCACTTCTAACAGCCCRAGCCATATAAAAATGTATATCCGGTYTAGTAATCGGATAACGCAATAAAATTGCCGGTCTTGCAAAAGAAGTACGCACTGTTAAAAATTATATCAAGCTGRTTTTAATTCGGGCCTGTTATTTTTTTTYGYTTTAATGSTTTCCAAAAAAAGGTTCAARTTACATCTTCATTAAAATGAACAATTATCTTTCATCCGTTCATAAACCGGACGTTTCGATAAATCTGCGAATTTACTAGTTTTATCAGGCATCTTTCACAGTTTTGCTACACCATAAATGGAAATAAAATACTTGTACGTTACCGTTTCCTCCATTATATTTTGCCATTCCTCGCAGTATTCTTCCATCAAAGCAGTCATCCATGTCACCACATCCTCCCTAAGATTTTCAATAAAACTTTCGTCACCGATAACTGAATTTTCCGAGCACGTTTCAGTTAGTTCCAGCTCTCCAACTTCCTCTTCTTCAAACATTTTACTAATTCTTGACTCCTTAGCATAACTAAGGTTCAAACTTTGTTCAGAACCTTTTGATTTACTAATTTCGCTTTCTTTTTCTTCGGAATCATTCATAATCAATCCGTCGTCAGTCTGTTCGGTTTTCTTATATTTCAATTGAAAATCTTCTAGGTGTTGGATGGTTTGAGAATCATCAGCAATTCCATTACCCAGGCTATGGGGCCTTTGAACATCTTCTCTCTCCACGACAAATTGTAAGGGCACTGAGAACCTTTTCGCTCTATCAAAGACTGTAATTTTGCTCTTTGGTGCCGGTATGTCTTTAAACTCTTGAGACGCACCGGGTTCAAGTTCCTCAATAAAAGCGCTTACTCTACTTTCTTTGGCAAATCTTTGGATTAAAGTTTCAGGTTGTACTATAATGTTTTGTATTTTTGGTAGCTGTTCCTTCTCCTGATATTCTTCAAAACTACTGGAACTATCAGTGAACTTTTTATCATTGATCGCGTTAATTAAGGAAGTTGAATCGTCGAAATTTGAATCTACCGATGAATAACTCGACTCAAATCGCCCAATTGATTTTGCGTCTTCACAGTCAGATTCTTCGCTGCAGATCGCAACTGTTCCAATGGTGTCCTCAAAATACTGCATGGTTTGGAAAAATTCGTCTTCGTATTTTAGTGAATCCATTGAGGAAAATGCTGACTTTTTTGCACTGCATGGGTCCAAAGGGAGATTTTCATAAATTGCTGATGGCTTCGGTGGTTTTAGAGGCAGGTTTTCATAGATATTCATATTCTCCTGGTCTTTCGAACAATTTATTTCTCTGTCATGCAGCTGAGATTCTAATTTTCCTTGGTTTATCAGAGGTAGATTCATGTATACTGGCTCATTGTCGTCTAAATGTTTGTTTTGCCTAGGAGTAGCTACAGGCTTTTTCTTGATTTTGTATGAATTTCTGTTGATAATTTCATCATCTAGATTTGTAATTTTTATGCTACGTTGACTAGTGGTACTTACAGATCGGCGATCTTCTGAACTGTTGCTTAGATCTGTCGTAGATGTTGCGTTCAAATTTTCACTTTCCAAATTGGACACTACACTGATATTCTCCACGGATTCCAAGGAATTTTTAAATCCTCGAGAGCGTTTCTTACTATCCGAACAATCCCAAATATTCACATAATTGGAATCGTCACTATCATCACTTGTGTCTCCCCCAACAAGCATGTTTTTCGCACGATGATTGTTTTCACTCCGCCAATTGTTTTTCGATTCAAAGGTATCCTCGTAATATTCAATGCTGAATCTAAGCGTTCTCAACCATGATTTCAGAATAATCTCAGTGTTCGACGTCATTTTCTTAGTCACCTTTTTACCAATATATTACAATCGGAAACCACATCCGCGTGTTTTGTGCCGCGACAAATAGTTTTCCGGTAGAAGCGCTCTTCGGTTTGCTAGAAATGTGGATCTTGATCTGGTGCAAAACAAATGAAAATATCGATGCAGCTCTTCCAACACTTAACAGAGGACTTAATGTATTGATTTAAAAGTTTCGATTGGCATTGATTGATTAATATGGCACAATAGCGTCACCCGCGAAAAAAACAATTGTTTTCCAAATTTCGACTACGACGGAAATGCGCACGAGCCCGCTACTTATTCGGTATGTGGTTTTGTTGCCGCGGATGTGCAGTTGTTTTAAATAAACCGATTAAAGCATGGCCGGCTACAATAAAATGTTTTTATGTTATTTCCGAGCAAATACCGAGTAAATCGCCTGCTGCTCATTGATAACGATTTTTCAGAATGATCTGTATGCTCGTACATAAGCGACACTCCCATGCAGTTAGTCATTTATTTATATAAACCAAGGGTTTAAAAGAGTTCAATTGGTTCGGAGAGAGAATTAACTACAAGCTGGAATTGCAGTAATAAGTCGATTAAGTGGTTTAATTAACCGACGACATACTCTGGGCTATTTCATGATCGGCTATTGTCGAGAAACAAGATATAGAGTACATAGGCTATTTTTAATTCAGCTGAAGAATTCATTTGCCCTGGTAAAGTTTCATCTGGCAGCTACAGGGTCTAACACAACCGTAACTTAGGCGTTGTTAGAATTTCTCATCGGATGTTTTTTTGATACATTTTTATAGGGGCGTTTCATGTATCAATGGCAACAGCAATTCCCTTGAGACGCCACTGGTATCGATAAGTAAACACAATTATGTGAAAAGTTATTTGTTATTTTCGAATGCAATAAACAATTACAGTCGTTAGATTTTTTAAACAAAATCTGTGACCTTTTAATACCAATTAACCATTTTTCCATTAATATATTTTTATTTGCAACGACTTTATTGTTATTTGTTGAATTTGGAATATCTTCGTTAATATAAATTGCGCTTTTGAGGAATTACATTTATAATACCGAAACATAGTGAAATTTATGAAAAAGTTATCAATCAAATCACGGAAACGATGGAAAAGCTTTTAACATTTGATGTGCCTCAGAAAGAGAGGTCTTGAGTTTCTAGAATTCGGCGTAAATAGTAGCCTTTAGGCAAAAATAAACTTGCAAAAAAGCAAACATAATCATTAACGTTAACAAGCTATTTTTTGCAACTTATAAGAAAATAATTTAGATTACCTAGTCAAAAATGACCTGTTTTATATGTACTTTGACACATTTGCAAATAAAGCCAAAATAATAATTTGGTTGCTTAATACTATGCGAATCATTTAAAAAACTAATCACTATTCAAAACCGTTGCGAGCCATTAATTATTCAAGCAGGGGGCGTCGAATACATGGAACTCATAAAACGTTGATTATATCGTTTAAAACACTTTCATAAGGCACACATTCGATTCGGCTTCATCAAATGAAAAAAGTTGAAGTCACTTTCAGATAGTTGCACTAACATTTTTGGTTATTATTGTTGCTGAGTTATGCGGAGTGATTCAAAATTGGCATCTGGGGTGCTTAGGAAGTACAGGAACATTTGTGCAAAAATTAAATCTTATCAAAAACTGAGATATTTGCAAAAAACTAGCTCAGAAGATCGGCAGCCATGTTTTTCAAGGTATCTGCCTTAAATATCAAAAGCTCAAGTAACAGGAGATAAACACACAAAGTGAGGTTAAAATGCAAAGAAATAGGATGGGGTAACTTGTGAATTCAAATCGCCGGATGTCAATATACCTCCTCATACGTCATGAATTTTGGAAATGTTTATAAAATCGATTTTTAGCCATTATTATAGGCTGTAAACAGGTCTTCTCTTTCTTAATCCTAGAAAAATTAATTCAGATATATAGAGAAAGAAGTAGAAAGAAACTTGTCAACTTGCTGTAAATATATGTTACTTGAACTTTAGCTTTTATTCAACTTTCTTTGTCAATTTTAAGGCATCATACTATATAAATACAATCTATTGAAAAATAACTTCAAAGCGAAACGTTGTAAAAATCGTAATTACTCTTACGCCCTTCTAGAGATAATAAATGCTCTATAACCAGCAATTCGATTTTATCTAGGATATGTTAAATCTGGTCTGTATTTAAGTCCGGTACTTTTCACCTGACTAATTTTCTTGAATTTTTTTATTGCATCATCACATATTAAAACACAGATCCCTAAAACCTAAAAATTAACCCAAGAACTACTTTTGTGACATTCAATATGAATCCTTATAAAACTATAAAATGTGATAAATTTCCTATTTCTTAACGACTATCAAACTAATCGTATTGAGAAAATAAAGAAAAGTTAGGAAAAACACTCACAAGCTTGACAAATATAAATTCGTTTTTCTAGCTATTTTTTTTAGCAATTGTTTAAGAAGTCATAAAAGATAGACATTTACTCTCCTCTGAAAAAATTGAAAAACAGACAACTTGCAACATTCTATAATACTTAGAGTTTGAATATTCTGAATATAAATATTCTTCAATTAAATATTCTTAAATCTGCCAACGTCGCAAGTAAGAAAAAAACAATTTACGGTCCATATGCAGCGTTTCAAGCTGCAATCCATGAAAAATGGGTAGTTTTATTTAAATAAATACACTTTGATCTTGCCTCGCTTTTCTCAGACACTCTGTATCATATAAAATATTTTTTAAATGTGCGTACTTTGTGCCTCAACAACTCTTATACGAAACTATTCAATATAAAAATCATGGACTCTCGCACTGAAAAACCATCCTGTATGTAAATAAAATACTTCACAAATTTTTAATGTTCAGCACTAGATTATTATCAAGAACATGGGACAATTTAAAATTTAACTAATACATATTAACTTGTTGATTAAGTTGAAATTCGATTTTAAACTATTTTAACAAAAAAATGCAATTTTTTTGTCCCACTTTTCAAGTGAGCCCATATAACCCTTTAAAAGGAATGACGCCAATTTTGAGTCACCCTGTATTTATTTGTATAGACTTTCACATTTATTTGTTGGGCACCGAAACTTGCAGCATAAAGTAACGCTCCCGAGCGAATATCCCTAAGATAATCAACCCTCTAACTCACGCGAATTGGAACACAAGACATAAATCTTAAAGCTGATATACAGGACGTTTCAATTAAACATGACCGAATCCATGGTTAAGATTTAAAACCATCTTTTTCGAATAGATAATAATTTAAATTTTATTCAGATATGTTCTTGATATGGAATGAAAGATTGAGTACCTACTGAAATAATGCCAACTCTTAACAATTCTTTAACTTGGAACTCGTTGGTTGAGCGCAAGATTTAACATTTCATATTGTACATCCATGTTTCAGCTTTGATGAGTATCATCAATGATTTCAATGAATGAACAGGCCCACGCACAGCTGTCTGATACACTTTATAGAACGGTTGCAAAATTCAGACTACTTTATAACCGTTTATAGTATACAGGGTGTCAAAACAATCCCAGTTTTTTTTATAAGTGGGGGCATTTGAAAGGCTCATGTAAAAGTGTAATGAAAAGTATTAGGGCGTAATGATAGGCACATGTGAATAAATACATCAAACATACAGAATTAATCAGATGGTGGAATAGTGAATTGATTAATTTTTATGTTTGTTAACTGTATTTTTAATTTTTCCATACAAGATAAATCGAAACCTTTATAGGATTGTTGAAGTGTGATTTTTCATATACTGATTAAATTAGAATACGTATGACAAACTAAAAACTGTAATTATTTGATTGAAAACTGTAAAACTGAACTTTAAATACTAATTAATTAAATACTGGAAATATCTAGCAGCAACAGTTTCTCAATGTGTTCAATTATAATAGACGTTTTCTACATTTAATGGATCACTTTAGCTTATCTTCCTCAATTTAGTTAATATATTAGCACAAATCTTTCTTGCCATTTATTTAATAATTGGTAGGCATTAAAAACCATTTTTTTCTCATTTTCATTTCAATTAGAGGCGTGGTAATAGTGTATATAATATGTATATGAAAGTTACTGTTAGGTTTTTGCAGATTTGGAATTTGCACAGAAAAATAAAATATATCATTTTGGAAACAATTATCTAATCGTCAACATAAAATTCTCCTAAAATCCAAAAACTCCTGCATCTAGGAAATGGACATTTTCGCACACCTTGTTATGATTTTCTCTCTAATTTTTAGAAAACCTTATATTTCTTGCGCAACTTCAATGGCTCATTCCATTAAATTCTATTTAATTAACATGCGTTTCAATAATAGTTATTCTCGCTTATAGTAGAACGAGCGAATTTAGTCCCCATTAAGCGCATTGTACCCTCTCAACGCCTAATGTGAATATGGTTTGTATGTAATACCGTTCCAAATATAGCAAACAACTTATCTTGAAAAGTAAAGTACACAAAACTATCATTTATATTAGTGCAAAATAAATATAAACATTTTAATAACACTGCAGAATTTGCTGCCGAAAATTAAATATTAATACTTGTAAACTTACCGGTGTAGACTGCGATATATTCCTCATAGTAACTAGATTACTGCTTCCCTCACCATCTTCATTCTGACTTTCAGAGCTTCCGGAATCAACTTCATGAGCATTGAAATGCGATGATTGTTCATTTTTTGGGGCCAAGTTATGATAACTACCGCAGTTTGAACATTCATCGAAAAATCTTTGCTGATTCTCTTTGCAATCCTCGGAACTGTTACTTTTATCGGTTGAATGAAAAGAACTCTCTGCTGAGTTAAAGTTTTGTATTGATCCAGACATCAATGCTCCTCTTGATAGCTCTAAGAGCCGGTTGCTGAAGTCATCACTAGTCCTTAAAAGATCCTCAGCCGATGCGCTCTTTTTCAGTGTTCCACTGATTTTTTCCGCTTCTTTTCTAAGCGCCAAGGTAAAATCGGTCTCTAATCTTTGAAAATTTTGAGGACTTGATATGATAAGTTTTCGTTCTCTTAAGTTTCTAGTGGGTTTTTTCTCCCTTCTTGTGGAACTTTTTAGGCCAGACTCTTGCTTTCGGAAGTGCTTTAACTGATCAAAATGCTCTTCATAAAATGATTTTGTCAGTACTTTATAAAATGTTGTATTTGTTGTCTCGAATTTGTCCCTGGCTTCGAATTCATCTTCGTCAAGTTGCTCTGTTGTTTCAGGCAGAGTTACTAATTCATTGCTGCCTTCATCTAACGGTTTCGCATTAATATGCTCTTTAGAAGCCCATTTGCTTAAGCCTAGATAACCGATAAACGATCCTTTGTTATCTGTGCTATCTTCCGAACTTTTCTGATTGCGATCACTTGACCTAACATCCTCGTCTGT